TATAAAATGGTAATTTAATATCTGTTCATAAGGTTGCTGTGGGAATTATTAACATATTGTACTAAAAGTACTTGGCATACTTGCTCTCTGTACTAAGTGTCCAGTAAACATTTCTGAAGTGAAATACAATGAGACAATAGTTAGGCATCAAGGAGAAATTAAGTTAGGCAATACAGAGTTCTGAGCTTGTTGTAGCACCTGTTCTTTAGAGATAGTCTTTTTTAATGTTACAATAAGTTATAATTGTACTGAAAGCCTACATAGAGATAACATTTATGAATTTACTTTGAAATGTTTTTAGTAGGAATTTTCTAATCTGAAAATGTACAGAATTATAACAATACAATGGCAATTCATCTGTTTATGCTTCTTAACCACATCCTTTTACTGCATCTTATTCCGGAAGTATTTATAATGCAGGTGCTCCTTTGAAAGACATTGTCCTTTAAAATAATTTGAGAGTAAATTGTTATTTAACATTAAAATGAAACGAGGATCTATTTAAAATGAATAGTTTTGTATGCCAAGTTGTACTAATACCAAATTATTAGAACATTTGACTTTTGGGGGAGTGGAACTTGGTTATGGATAATGTGGAGAAATTGCAGTTCTTCTCTGTAGATGCCACAGGATTCTGTCTCCGGATAAACAAGTAAGACAGCTATGGCACAAGAGAAAGCAGGAGCTTTCTTGTATTCCTTCTCATTCTCATCTTTTAAAGTTTCTTCACTTTGTTAAAGAAACTCTGGTGGGTTACCTGGGCAGAGTTTGATGCTGTCCCATAGCTGGCATAAGTCATTTTAAAAATCCTAACATGTATTACAATGGAAAAAGTAAATTATTGTTGTTTTTCTCATTATTAATAACAGCCTAAGTAAGAATAGTTTTAAATAAAGGATAAGGTAAAAAGGCAGGTAGGTAAGGAAAGAAGTGTTTGGAAATGAAGGAAGAAGGGGGAACTGTTGTTGAGATAACAGGTGAAAAGTGTTATCTAAAGTTTATTTTCATTTGCCTTGGGTTTCAACTTGCAGTGACTTAGCACTTGAAAATTGCTCTCAGTAGCATAATTGGCAACTTTTAGGTTATTTGCTACCTGGAATAAACATAACTTCCTTATCATGAAATTCAGATATAACTATTATTGAATTTATATTTCCATACAACTGGTGGTGGAGTTTTTAGCATTAGGTAGGAGGATAGGGTAGGGAAGGACAGTGGTGTATAGCAGACACTGTACTAAGTGTTTTACATATTATTTTGTTTAATCTTTATAACAACCCTATAGGTAGGTGTTACCGAAGCACAGAAAGGTTAAGTACCTTGCTCATTGTCACACACATAATGAATGGCAGAGCAAGATTTCAAACTATCCTTTAATTCATTCCTTTGCTTTATTTTACAATTCCATTCAGTCACTGAGTCTTGGCTTAAAAAAAAAAAAAAGCTTTATTGAGATATAATCCATGTAGCATATAATTGTCCCACTTAAAGTATATAATTCAGTGGCTTTTGGTATTTTCACAGTGGCTTTTAGTATTTTCACTATCACCACAATTTAGAACATTTACATCACCCCAAAAAGAAACTCCACTGCTCTTAGTCATCACCTTTTAATATTCCCTATTCCCTACCCTAGTCAACCATTACTCTGCTTTTTGTCACTATAGATTTGCTCATTCTGGACATTTCATATAAATGGAATCATACAATATGTGGTCCTTTGTGACTGCCTTCTTTCCCTTGGCATAATTTTTTTTTAAAAAATATATTTTATTGATTTTTTACAGAGAGGAAGGGAGAGAGATAGATAGTTAGAAACATCAATGAGAGAGAAACATCGATCAGCTGCTTCCTGCACATCTCCTACTGGGGATGTGCCCGCAACCCAGGTACATGCCTTTGACCGGAATCGAACCTGGGACCCTTCAGTCCGCAGGCCGACGCTCTATCCACTGAGCCAAACCGGTTTCGGCACCTACTTTTTTTTTTAACTGATTTCAGAAAGGAAGGGAGAGGGAAACATCAAGGAGAGAGAATCATTGATTGGCTGCCTCCTGTACACACACACCCCCCTCCCCAATGGGGATTGAGCCCGCAATCTGACTGGGAATCGAATTGTGACTTCCTGGTTCATAGGTTGATGCTCAACCACTGAGCCACACCAACTGAGCTACCCATGTATTTTTTGATGGATACTTTGGTAGCTTCTAATTTTTTTCTTTCCTGAATATTGCTACTATGAATTTGGGTATACAAATGTCCATTCAAAATCCTGCTTTAATTTCTTTTGAGTATGGAACTAGAAGTAGAATTGCTAAGTCATGTGGTACATAATTCTATTTTTAAATTTTTGAGGAACTGCCTGTTTTCCAAGGTGGTTGCACCACTTTACATTTACCAGCACTGCACAAGAGTTCTGCTTGCTGTACGTCTTCCTCAATACTTGTTATTTTCTGTTTATTGTTGTTGTTTTTTTCTAAATAGCTATCCTAATTGAATGTGAAGTGGTATCTCATTATGGTTTGAGTTGCTTTTTTCTAACAACAGTGCTGTTGAGCATCTTTTCTTGTGCTTCTTGGCCATTTGTATATCTTATTTGGAGAAATGTCTATTCAGATCTTTTGTACATTGTTTAATTGGGTTGTTTGTTTTTGTTGTTTTGTTGTAAGGTTCTTTATATATTCTGGATATCAATCCTTTATTAGATATATTGCAACTATTATCTCACATTTCCTGATTGTGTTCTTTGGTGCACAAGAGTTTAATTTTGATAAAGTCCAGTTTATCTATTTTTTCTTTTGATGCCTGTGATTTTGGTGTCAGATCTGAGAAATGCCATGAAGCTTTTGCCTTGTTTTCTTCTAAGAATTTTATAGTTTTGGCTCTTATTTTAGGTCTTTGATTCATTTTAGGAGTTTTTTGTTTTTGTTTTTAATTTCTGGGGGGGAGCACATAGTGTAGTGTACAGGTTCAACTTCGTTTTATGTTCTTATGTGACTACAGTAGGTCCTCAGGTTACATCGGAGATCCGTTCGTATGGCTCGATGTAACATGATTTTTGCCGTAAATTGGAACCCACCTACATAAACACCTACGTCACTCACATGGAGCACATACACAGCAGTAATGAAGTGAAACAGTAAAAAAATTTAAAAGAAATAATAATTCCTGACCTTTGCTTGTGGTAAATAAATAATAAAAAACATAAAGCACATATGTACATATGTCAAAATGACGGAACCTTTTTTTATATATATAAATAAATGGGAGATGGCGACGTAACCACAAAACGACGTACGAGTCCAACGTAATCCGGGAACTGCCTGTACTAGAGGCCCGGTGCACGAAATTCGTGTACAGGTAGGGTCCCTAGGCCTGGCTGGTGATCAGGGCTGATCGGGGCCTTCCAGCTGCCGGCCGAACCTTCCTTTGTTCCGAGCCTCCCCATGGTGGTCAGTGCACATCATACCGAGCAATCGAACTCCCGGTCTCCCAGTTGAAATCCCAAGGGGACACTTTGCATATTAGCCTTTTATTTATATAGATATGTTTCAATTTCTCTTGGTTTATTACTAGGAATGGAATTCCTGGGTTATATGGTAACTATGTTTGACCTTTTGAAGGAACTGAACTGTTTTCCAAAGTGGCTATACCATTTTACATTCCCTCCAGCAGTGTATGAGGGTTTTAATTTTTCCATGGCTTTTCAAATCCAGATCATATTACCTGCTGACTGGCTTATTTCAGAATTTCCTTGGCTGGTCTTTTTGGTGATAATCTCACTGCTCTGCCTTTCTGCTGTCCCTTTTCACCAATCCATAATGATGTTTATATGTCATAAAAGTTTACAGCTGAAAGGAACTATAGATAATAATAGGAGTCAAGCTGTTCATTTTACAGTTGATAAAACTTAGAGAAGAGATTTGACCTAAAGTTATATGTTATAGCATGAAGACTAGATACCCTACTATGTATATAGCTTTCATTTTGTTAAGTCATCGTGTTTCCCTTTTCTGTGTTGTAAAACTCTTTACTTGATTGTCTTAACCAGTTATCTTTCTCATCCTCTCCCCTAAAGTACAACAATCTAAAAGCAAGGAAGGAGTTGTGTGCAGGTAATTTATTTGTGGATGATTTTAGGGAATAAGAGCTAGGGACCAGAGTGAATAAAAAAAGAAAAGCCAGCCGAAACCGGTTTGGCCCGGTGGATAGAGCGTCGGCCTGCGGACTGAAGGGTCCCGGGTTCGATTCCGGTCAAGGGCATGTACCTTGGTTGCGGGCATATCCCCAGTGGGAGATGTGCAGGAGGCAGCTGATCGATGTTTCTCTCTCATCGATGTTTCTAACTCTCTATCTCTCTCCCTTCCTCTCTGTAAAAAACCCCAATAAAATATATTTTTAAAAAAAAAGCCAATATAAGACTTATTGAATTATTCACTGCTGTTGCAACTAGGGCTCAATTCTAGTAGGAACTTCTGAGGATCTAGATCAGGGGTGGGCAACCCCTGGCACGCGTGCCAAACATGGCATGCCAGTAACTTTTGCTGGCATGCGAAACCCTCTCTTACAATCTTCCATTTACATTTTTTTTCTTAATATCGACGTTTTTATTTTTCAGATAAATTCAGTGTAGGTGCATCTTAGATAAGTAAATAATTTTACTTAACATGTATACATTAAAAAAATAAATGTACTTTTCATCATCATATACTGTGTTTTTTGTCGCTCGAATGAATTTTATTATTTCTTCAAGGTTCTTCACATACGTACACCTTAAGAGATATCAAGTAGGCGTAACATGTTCTCAAAAAATTAGGGTTGGCACGCAGAAGAATTTTGAATCAGAGATTTTGCTGATTTTGGCACACACTCACAAAAAGGTTACCCACCCCTGATCTAGATAGTCTCACATTTTCTACTCATCTTTTCTTGTTCTCCCATCAGTTGACAGTTTCCCCAGTGTGGTATAAATTCTTACTCCTTCCCTCCCCCACTTTCAGCTGCACATAAGAGCCTGCCAATTGTGTTCCCAGTGGTATCTCATTTCATTGCCTCAGGAAGTCCCAGAGCAGAAAGCAAAAGAATCACAGTGAGTAATATGGGGAAATTTAGTCAAATCTACCTGGAATCATTAGCCTAAGGTTAAGATTATCATGGTTGGTAGAATGATGGTCTCCCAAAGATGTCTCCAGTCTAGTCTTCTAAAATTGTGAATATGTTACCTTATATGGCAAAAAGGACTTTGCGGATTTTCCTGGATTATCTATCCCTGGGCCCAGTGTAATCACAAGGAATCTCATAAGAGGGAGGCAGGAGTGTAAGAAAGAGAAGTGGCAATGGAAGCTGAGGTCATGATGATATGGCTGGGGGCTAAGGAATTAGCATAGAATGGGTTTTCCCCTAGAGCAGTGGTTCTCAATCTTCCTAATGCCACAGGACCCTTTAATACAGTTCCTCATGTTGGGGTGACCCCTAATTTCATTGTTACAAATTGAACATTATTAGCCCTGACTGGTTTGGCTCAATGGATAGAGCGTTGGCCTACGGACTGAAGGGTCCCGGGTTCGATTCCGGTCAAGGGCATGTACCTTAGTTGCGGGCACATCCCCAGTAGGGGGTGTGCAGGAGGCAGCTGATTGATGTTTCTCTCTCATTGATGTTTCTAACTCTCTATCCCTCTCCCTTCCTCTCTGTAAAAAATCAATAAAATATATTTTAAAAAACACACAGCAAATTGAACATAATTAAAGCATAGTGATTAATCACAAAAACAATATGTAAATGTTAACGTAAAAAAAACCATTGAAACCTGTAAAGAATTTGTGAGTTTATTTGAGCCAAACTGTCGACATATGCCGGGAAGCAGAATCTCAACGAATTGAGATAGTGCTCTGGAGAATGGCGGGGTTACATTTGTATTTATACATTTGCAATCAAAGGAGGGACATAGGTGGGTTACATGAAATTCATTGGTGATAGATTAAGGAGGAGGGATAAAGCAAAGCAGGGAAACCCCTGGGATTGGATAAAAAGTAAAATGATGGACACATACTTAGGTGGGTGCAGGATCAATTAACATGATAATGAAGGAATTTGTGGTATCGGTTCTGGCGCCCAGCACATTTGGTTGTGCCCCAGGGGCTCCAGAAAAAGGGAAGTTACAAGTTACCCAGACATTGCAAGGGTGTGTTATCATAGATGCAAAAAGACAGATAGGCTCAGTTAAGGTAAAAGTTGACCTTGTCAGTGAAGATACTGGCCTAGGATGTAACTGCCCACCATAACTGCTTTTAGTTGAAGTTTAATTTCAGATCATCCTTTGTGGTTACTTTAGGTCTCTGAGTTTGCAAGACTGCCATGCAGGCCTCCCCTGAGCTTGTCAGGTCAGCATGTGGCCCCTTTCATTCACATAATTATATGTGTGTTTTCCGATGGTCTTAGGCGACCCCTGTGAAAGGGTGGTTCGACCCCCAAAGTGGTCGCGACCCACAGGTTGAGAACCGCTGCCCTAGCGCCTCATGTGGGAATACAGACTTTGATTTTAGCTCTGTAAATCCTGTTTCAACCTTCTTATCTCTAGTACTTAAAGACAATAAATTTGTGATTTTAAAAATTAATTTATTTTCCAATTACAGTTAAATTTGTGTTTTAAGCCACTAAATTTGTGGCAATTTGTTACACAGCAATAGGAAGCAAATACAGCTAGAATCAAAGGAGAGGCCAACAGCAAGAGGTAGATTCTCTCAGAAATTTCTTATACTTCATCTAAATGACTTGAGATGTGGGGGTTAACTAAGTAGGTTTCATTAATTCAGATAATTGGATTGATAGTGGTACTATTTACTGAATTATAAAACACAGATGCAGAAACTGCAGGGAAAGTTAAGTGTGAGGTGCTTATGGAGTAGACATGCACAATGCTTTACAATTTAGAACACATTTTTATACTTAGGAGTTTTTAAGTACGAGTGTACTGGTTTCCTGTAACTCCAATGGGTCCTATTGTATGCATAGGCCGAAAGGATAATGGGAGGCACAATAAACTTTAATAGGGCTAAGTGGTAATGTCCTAAAACTGTTTTTGAATAAAAATTATATAAGCACATGGAGGGCACGAGAGGAAGCATTAGAATTAAGGGCAGCCGAACCGGTTTGGCTCAGTGGATAGAGCGTCGGCCTGTGGACTGAAGGGTCCCAGGTTTGATTCCGGTCAAGGGCATGTACCTGAGTTGCGGGCACATCCCCACGGGGGGGTGTGCAGGAGGCAGCTGATCGATGTTTCTCTCTCATCAATGTTTCTAACTCTCTATCCCTCTCCCTTCTTCTCTGTAAAAAATCAATAAAATATATTTAAAAAAAAAAAAAAAGAATTAAGGGCAGTGCTAGCCGGTTTGACTCAGTGCCTAGAGTGTCAGCCTATGGACCAAATGATTCCGGATTCGATTCCAGTCAAGGGCATGTACCTCAGTTGCAGGCTCTTCCCTGGCCCCGGCCCTGGTCGGGGCTTGTGCAGGAGGCAAACAATTGATGTGTTTCTCTCACATTGATATTTCTCTGTCTTTCCCTTTCTCTTACACCAGCGGTTCTCAATCTGTGAGTCATGACCCCTTTGGGGGTCGACCGACTCTTTCACAGGGGTCGCCGAAGACCATCGGAAAACACATATATAATTACATATTGTTTTTGTGATTAATCACTATGCTTTAATTATGTTCAATTTGTAACAATGAAATTGGGGGTCACCACAACATGAGGAACAGTATTAAAGGATCATGTGGCATTAGGAAGGTTGAGAACCACTGTCTTACACTCTCTCTAAAAAAATCAATGGGCCCTAGCTGGTTTGGCTCAGTGGATGGAGTTTCAGCCTGCGGACTGAGGGGTCCCACCTTCGATTCCGGTCAGGGGCATGTGCCTTGGTTGTGGGCACATCCCCAGTGGTGGTGGTGGTGGGGGGGGTGCAGGAAGCAGCTGATCGATGTTTCTCTCTCATCGATGTTTCTAGCTCTCTGTCCCTCTCCCTTCCTCTCTGTAAAAAAAAAAAAATTAAAAAATCAAAATATAAAGAAAAAAATATTCTCAGGTGAGGATTTTTAAAAAAAGAATTAAGGACAACAATTAATGTGAAAAATACTCAAATGTTACGGTTAAAATCATGTTAAATATGTCAGGGATTTCAGGTGACCACAGTTTGGTGTGTCAGGAGAATATGGTTGCTAAAAATGATGCCATAATCTTAACCTTACTTATACTGTACAGTATGGGGAAATGGTAGTACTATTGTTTCCTGAGATGTGTGTATTCTTTTGAGAATATGTACAACTTGAGTGACACTTTTAAGAGACATAGTGATCTATGTATATAAAAAGCTAAGTGTCCGTCCGTCCTACTGACCGATAGCTATGACACCCACTGACCACCAGGGGGCAGACGCTCAACGCTGGAGCTGCCATGGCGCACACTGGCCATTTAAAAATAAACAGTACCATGGACCTGACACCGACAAATAAACACTCGGCTTCCCCCAAGTGGGACACAGGCCCCACCACCACCCCAGAGTGACACCCCACCAAATAACAGCCTACACTGCCAAGACCCCATGGCACAAAATGCAGCTCACAGCCCAGAAATGTTTGCTGTGGGCTCCTGATAATGACATCATGTAGCAACGCCTGGCTTCCTCTCCCTAGTGACTAGCTTCCTTTGAGGTTCTTCAGCCCAGGAACCTGACTTGCTTTATAGCCAGGTGCAAACATTTTACAGTTTAACCAAATGTCTGTGAAGCGTTTTCCCGTGCCTCATCTCATTTGATCCTCACAGAAGTCCTGGAGTAGGTAGATAGGAGACTCGGTGGAATACTATTTTCTTTTTATTAGCCAGAAAATGGAGATTTAGAAAGCTTAGAAACTTGACCCGACTGAAAAAAAATAAGAAATGGTGGACCTTGAAAATGACTTCAGGTTTTCTCACTGCGCAGAATATAGTCAAAACACTGCTGCAGTTAAATATTTTACCTTTTGTTTTCCCTGCATGACCTACAATAATAATCTGCTTCGTGTTGATATTTACTGCTGTGTTGCTGACAATTACCTGAAAGAGAAGTTGAGGTGCTTCACTGGGCTGGAAAAAGTTTAGCTAAATCAGAAAGCAGGTCTAATTAAACAAGTTTATTCTATATATATAAAAGGCTAAGTTGACTCGCACATGTGTGATACATATAAAGCTCTTGCTGGCACCAATCTCACGCGTGTGTTTCGATCTGTCATTGTCGATAATTTGGTTGACATTTCTCATAGAGAAAGGGCAAATAGCAATATTGAAATATTTCTTCTAATTAATTTCCTTTTAATGTGCACAAATCCGTGTCCCGGGACACTAGGTAGAATATAAAAGAATAAAGATTGCCCAGTGGATGTGGCTCAATGGTTGAGCTTCCACCTATGAACCCGGTGATCATGGTTTGATTCCTATTCAGGGCTCATGCCCGAATTGCAGGCTCAATCCTAGTAGGAGGCATGCAGCAGGCAGCCGATCGTTGACTCTCTCTCATCATTGATGTTTCTCTCTCTCTTCCTCTCTGAAATCAATAAAAATATATATTTTTAAATGATTGGAATAGTGGTAATATACAGGGGTTGGCAAAAGTAGGCTTATAGTTGTGAGTACACAAAATACAAGTTTATTCTTATACTAGAGGCCCGGTGCACAAAAATTTGTGCACTGGGGGGTGGGGGGTGGGAGGGGGGTCCCCCAGCCCGGCCTGTGCCCTCTCGCAGTCTGGGACCCCTTGGGAGATAATGACCTGCCCCCTGTCACTCAGAGCAGGGCCGATTAGGGGGTTGGGGCGCCTTCCCTGTCACGAACAGAGCAGGGCGGATAGAGAGATTGTAGCCCCGCCCCCTGTCACACACAGAGCTGCAGGAGAATCAGGGGATTGGGAAGCTCCCCCCTTCAGCCCTGAGCTTGGCTGATCAGGGGTTTGGATGCTGCCCCCTGTCACGATGATCCCG